ACCGGCTACGTCCAACATCACATGATGAAAGACAGTGTTCAGACCGATGGTTATGGTGCTGGAAGCCATCTTGAGGCTTCGGCAGAAATTGTGGACCGCAGTCGCAGCGGTAGCACGCAACACAGCAGGCGCAGCCACAACAAGTGACGGCCGCTTCTCCAGGACATTTCTTACTTGCACTTGTGGCATCAGTTCTGATCTACTTGTAAAACATCTCAACGCAGACCGTGCATTTACGAATCTCTTTGCTGTATAATTGCTCAAAAAAACGGGGTTCGGGGGAGGGGGGAGGCGTTTCCCTTGGTTGGGCGCAAGCAGTGTGCTTTTCAGTGGCACATGCAAGTACAAAGCTATCTAGACATTTCATTTATTTATATACGCAGGACATGGAGAGCCGCTAGTTGAGCCAGCATGCACAATAGTAATTTAAAATAATTTATCTTTGGAGCCGATGTTGCCTATGCAAATGCTTTGCAGATGACCTGCAGCAGCAACGACTTTTGTGGCGTTGGGGATCTGCCAGGGCTGCCCGGGTCATAGTTGTTCCGTGAGAGGCTAAGGTGTGGCGTCATGTGTCGCGTGAAACCGCTAAGATAACGATAGGAGTGGCGCCTGAGGCATTCACGCAGCACCCTCAGCGTGGTGCGCCCGGCCGAAACGCTCTTTGCTTTTCGTGGCTATGAATATCGCGTAGCCCAACCCAGCCTTGCTACCCTTCCTGCTTCGCCTTCACCTGGACTGCAGCAGTTGCCGCTATATGCGCCGTGTAGGACGAGTGGTCGAAGTTCCCCTGGCCGAGCCGACGCGCAAGGACCCACCTCCGCGCTTGTTCCCTCACCGCAACCCTCTGCTATTGATAGGTGAGTGAAGATGTCGATGCTTGGAGGCGTGGTGGGATGCTGACGGGAGAGAGCAGTCTTGCTACCGGCTACCTTAGCACGGTTCTAGCCAGGTAAAGGAGACGAACAAAGTGGCGGCACATTGCCGTATACCGCCCGACCTTCTCTACGTAGACTCCAACCCTCCACTTTGTAATCACATGAGCAGTGACTCTTTGCGTTGCTGTGGCGCCAGGCTCACGCTCTTTGCACCTCTACAACCAGCCGTTGGATTCCTCACGCAGGCCAAATACACTTTAAATGTCTCCGAACGCTGCCCCGCGCCCGAGCGGACCTTATGCTCGCAGCTCACATGCCTACGAGAGTCATGATGAAGGCGCGAGTAGCAATATACAAGGACAACGTGACATTCTCATGGGAAATGGCTCTCGGCAGCATTCAGAGGGAGTTGTGGCGTCGCATTTCCTGGCGCAAGACCCCGAAACGTGGATGGACTTCCTGAGAGACGGTACCGAAACCGATGTTAACCAGCAACAACCTTCCAGCGAGCTCGACCCCGCTGCAGCCCACGAAGCTCGCGCAAACCCCTCTTCCATGCGATACACGCTCCCCAGCCGCCCCTCGCCGCGTACAGACTCGCCGTCCTCTCGCAGCTCTGACCGCAAGCGACGCCTGACGACAGCTGACTCGCCTATGAGGCGGCCATCGAGTATACGGATGCACTCTGAGAGCATGGGCAACTCCAGTATGGACCCCATCGTCCTGGATTCCCCGCCTGCCTCTTTGCGAGCGCTTCCGCCCACACCACCCGTCCCACCACATACCAACACTACGCCGGTCAGAAGGCAGAGCGATATTGTCCTGCCACCATGGCAGCCGGATAGCGATGTCACGCAGTGTCCGGTGTGCAAGAGACCCTTTACATTTCTCCTTAGGAGGCACCATTGCAGGTAAGCTCGCAACTCCCTTTCTTGTTGGGCGCGCGGTCCATGTCTTGACCAGCTGGGCATACACGCCAGAATGGGCAAGAAGCTTGCAAATCGCAGGAACAAACCTAGTTTTGACAAAGCATATGCTGACGATTACCAACAGGAAATGTGGAAGGGTCGTGTGCGCCACGTGTTCGCCACATCGTATCACTATACCCCGACAGTTCATCGTCCATCCCCCTTCCGAAATGGCGGCGAACTTCATTGATCTGACCGGGGATGATGAGAATGCTATGTCGGCTTTCGGCCCGTTCCGCAACCCAGCGCTAGGCGGAGGCGAGGAAGTCCGCGTTTGCAATCCATGTGTACCTGATCCCAATTTTAGCCCACCGCCGCAGTATCAACCCTCTGGCCGCGACCCGAGGTATCCATTGCAATTTGCCCCGTCTCCCAGATCGCCCCACGCCCCACCACCGCATCCACGCGCTCATCGATCTGCATCAAGTGCGCATGATGCGTCACGGTTTGTGAATCCAGGACATGTGTATGTTAACCGCGAGACTCCGAACGACAACAGCCAGAATAGGCGAGTGAGTTACCACGGCAACTCAAATATCGGAGAGCGACGATTACCTCCTCTCCCACCCTCTGCCACTCAACAGCAACATCCTCATCATCGCGCGCCACTCATTTCGCAGACATTGTCAAGTAACCGCCCTCGTCATCGGTCAACCTTTGGAGCCGCATCATTTGCAGGCTCGCCGTTTGGACAAGCCACTTCCACTGCAATCCCTCAGCCACTACATCCTTATCACGCACAGCTACCTCAGCCTCGACGTCAGATCGCTGAGGAAGATGAATGTCCTATTTGCGGGGACGAGCTCCCGCCCAAGGGACCTGATGGCGATGAGATGGACCGTACTCGGCACATTGAAGATTGTATCGCCCTACATTCAGCTTCCCCAGGTCCCAAGGCAACACCTGCACCACAGACATCAGCAAGTCTGCCTACTCAGCGTACCCGCGGTATGAGCAGTGCAGGCAATGGCGAAGGATCCAGCAATAGAATGAGCCATGCTGCGCGCGGCATGTTCCCCTATATTGCAACTGAGAAGGACTGTGTGGATGATGAGGGGGCGCAAGCAGAATGCACGATTTGTTTGGAAGACTTTGAGGCTGGAGATCGCATGGCAAGGCTGGTTTGTTGGTGCAAGTTTCATGAGGTATGTTCTTTTTCATTGGACATTGGATACAGGGTGGAGAATCTTTGCTAACAAAGGGTAGTCATGCATCAAAGAGTGGTGGAATAAGAAAGGTCGAGGAGCATGTCCTACTCATCAATTGCAGGAATAACGACCTTATCGGGGCTCTCTTAGCCATCATTCCTTGTTTTTTTTCTCCTTCAGACTCTACATCGGATCGCCAGCATGATAGTCTTTTGGTTATAAGACCATTTGGTCAGGACATCCTTGATTCGCACAGCTCTTTCGCCCCCTCCTCTCTCTTTTTTTTTCACTACATCATGCGTCGTCGGCGTTATTTGCCTCAGGTATACCCTCTTGTCCCTCCTTTAGCGTTTCTTTGTATTCTGTCATTTTGTCATTTTTCTTAAAGGAGCGCCTATCATCGATAATCGGTATTGTTTAGCATAGAGGTACTCATCAAGGATGGGTGGGGGGTGATGGCATTGCTATGGATACGGGTTTAGACTCCGCTTTGGCGTATTGATTGTTATTGAAGTGCACTATTCGATTATGATAAGCTCTTTGGCTCCGGCCTTTCGGGAACGTTTTTGTGAAACAAAATTTTGGGATTTATTAGAACTAGTCATACAGGTATTCGAATCAGCAACCGCGCGCGCCCATT